CCATTTAAATAGAAATATCCAAAGAATAGCCTGAGGTTTGGCAAATTCCTGATATTATATGTATTTTTAAGAAGAAATATTTAAGTGCCAAAAAGAAAGATTATTAATGTCTTATCTGAATGTTTCAAAGTAGAAACAAGTTCTAAAAGGGGGTGAGTTGTGGCTGCTATAGGCTGAATTGTATCTCCCCAAAATTCGTATATTGAACCCTTAACCCACAATACTTCAGAATGTGACTGTATTTGGAGACAGGGCCTTCAAAAGGGCGATTAGGTTAAAATGAGGCTGTTTTTCATTTTAGGGTAGGCCCTAAACCAATCTGAGTGGTGTTCTTCCAAGAACAGAAAATCTGGACACAGAGAGAGAGAGACACCAGGGATGCACATGCGCAGAGGAAAAACCGTGCGAGGACACAGCGTGAAGGCAGCCATCTGCAAGCCAAGGAGAAGAGCCTTAGAAGAAATTAAAACTTCTGACACTTTGACCTTGGACTTTCAGGCTTCAAAACTGTCAGAAATTTCTGTTGCCTGTGGTCTCCGAACCCCGGTCACAGCCCAGTACCAGTCTGTGGCCTGTTAGGAAAACAGGGCCACACATCACCACCTGAGCTCCACCTCTCCCCTCCTCCTCGTTCGTGGAAAAATTGTCTTCCATGAAACCAGTTCCTGGAGCCAAAAAGCTTGGGGACTGTTGGCCTAAGCCACCCAGTCTGTGGTATTTTGTATGCAGGCCTAGAAAACTAATGCAGTGCCCATAGGTCAACATAAAGTACTCAGCCCAGGTCCCTAATGGAAAGTATAAAAAAATCACTTATTAAGAATGAATGAATAAATGAAAGGAGACCGAACATCTTTAAAACTGGATAATAAACAAACATTAAAAGTCATATACTTGAGGTAAAATTCTGTTTAAAATGACAGTAATAATAATCAAAAAAATTCATAACCCAACCCCAATACACATATACAAAGAAAACAGAATGCAAAAAATATAATCAAAGTGTTAACAATGACTGTTGGTATATGGTCTATTTATGCTTTTCATTTTCTTTATATATTGTCTGGGTTTTTTCCCTTGAACTTTCTGCCATGATAATGTATTTCTTTTATAACCAGAAAATTCCCAACAAAAAATTTTAAAATATAGACACGGAGAATGTCCCGAAGGAAAAAGACTATGAATGGTAACAATATCAGATCTACCAACTGAATCTCATATATATATGATACATACACATACACAAACACATACACATACATACACTACCTGTAATAAGATTGCTTTTAGAATCATCAGTGGATCATCAATCTCTCCTTTATCCTGAAGATCTTTCAGATTCACATCTGGCTTACTTTTTTCCTCCTAGGAAGAGAAACAATAAAAGAGTTTCTGTTTACTATTCCCTTAAAAATTACTTAACAAAACTGGAATATCTATGCCATGGAAGTTTCAGGATGGGTAAACAACGATAAAAAACATCATAATAATCTGTATATGATGTTTTGGAATCAGGCAAAACTGGCTTTGAATTCCAGCTCTTGGTTGAGCAATCCTAGACAAGTTACTTAATCTCTCTGGCTTTCTCTGTAAATTGATATTGTGAGATAAGTAAAGTTTCTAGCACGATACATATGGTGGGTTCCACCATTCTCTGGCTTAGCACTACTTTAGCTGCATCCTACATAATTTGATACTTGAGGTTTTCATTATCATTCAGCTCAGAATATTTTCTGGTCTTCATCCAGTATGTTCTCACTCACTTGTGTTGGCCTAAGGAAATCCTACCCATCTTTGCAGGCTCAGCTTCAACACTCCCTTCTATTTCGGGATCATCCAAGTTTTCACCCCATCCTATGAAGGTATTGGGGAATACGTCAAAATTATTAATACCCTGGTAAGCTATTTTTATTGACTTTTTTTCATACATGTCATCTTGTAAAAGTATTTTAAGTTAGCTTAAAAACATAAATACAAATAGACCTAAACAATCAACACAAGACAAAAATAATCAAGACATGTTAGAATATGGCAAACTAGATATAACCATCCTGCTGCAAAATTAATAAAAATGCTGGATAAAGTAAAAACAAAAGAACATCTTTTTAAACACACGATGAGCTAGCAAGAACATCAGGAAAATCTTTCAGATGGGAATCCAGAGAAGGAATCCAGAGATGAGGCCTCCAGCTCTCTAACTGTGATGGTCTGAATGTTTATGTTCCCCCCGAATTCACATGTTCAAATCTAATCCCCAATAGTAATAATTGGTGGGGCCTTACGGAGGTGATTAGGTCATGAGAGTGGAGCCCTCATGAATGAGATTAGTGCCCTTATAAAAGAGGCCTGAGGGAGCTTGTTTGCATTTGCACCTTCTACCATGTAAAGACACAGCAAAAAGTGTCATCTATGAAGCAGAGCTAGTCCTTACAGACACAAAATCTGCTGATGCCTTGACCTTGGACTTCCCGGTTTCCAGAACTGTGAACAATAAATTTCTGTTGTTAATAAATTACCCAGTCCAAGGTGTTTTGTTATAGCAGCCTGAACAGACTAAGACACCAACTTTGCTGACACTGAGCTTCCATTCTGATGCTCATACAGGACACGGTTTGAGAGAGGAAGCCCAAGGCATACTCAAAGTAGGGAGCTGAGTGATTGGTTTTTAAAATAGCAACCACTTCTCTGACATTAACTGGGTGCCTATAATTCCCTTCAATTCTGACACTAACTACCTGGTGATAGCTCAGATCCCACAGGCTGAGGGTTCAGTCCCATAAAACTGTCCCCTACTTCAAACGCCAACCACAAATGGGGTCCCTAGGCTACCTGCACTTCTGCCTGGCTGACAAATTCTAGGGTTCCCACAATCCCTAATTCAGGTTTACACTTTTCTGGAACAACTTACAGAACTCCAGAACTTATATTTACACTACAGTTTATGAAAAAGGATACAAATGAACAGCCAGATGAACAGATACATGGGGCAAGGTCCAGAAAGATGCGGAGTTCAGCAGACTGTTCTCATGGAATTAGGGTGACCACCCTCCCAGCGTGTGGATGGGTTCACCAAGCCATAAACTCCTCAAACCTTGTTTTCCAAGAGTTTTTACTGAAGTTTCATCACAGAGGCATGACTGATTGAATCACAGGTCATTGGTGAGAGAACTCTATCTCCCATCCCTCTTCCTTCCCCAAGGTCAGGAAGTAGGCCTGGAAGTTTCAACCCTCCAATAACATGACTGGCACCTCTGGCCACTAGCCCTATCCTGAGGCATCTAGAAGTGACCTCATTAGCATCAACTCAGGTATGGCTCATTATGAATAACAAAAGACACTCCCACCAGTAAGGAAATTCCAAAGAGCTCTGTGCTAGGAACTGGCACTGGGGACAAAGACCAAATATATACTTTTTATTATATCATAACGACAACATCCAGCAAAAAGCTGGAACCCAACACCCTCCATATAAGCATGAGCTAAAAAAATTCACCCCACAATACAGGACAATAAAGAATTGCATTGGCCTTGATACTGGATGAAGGGGAAAAAGCATGCCCTCTAATAATCCTAAATTGGTCCTCATGTGGGATTGTGGCCCAGATTCATACTAGCTGTATAGCTCTAAAACCATCAAGTCCGGATTTTAAAGTTGTTAAGGGCTGGTAGTAACCCCAGGCTTGCATTAGAGACAAACAAATCTTTCTTAGAAGCAGCACTTCAACACAGGCATCAAATTATTCTTTTTTTTTTTTTTTTTTTTTTTTGAGACAGAGTCTCACTCTGTTGCCTGGGTTAGAGTGCCATGGCATCAGCCTAGCTCACAGCAACCTCAGACTCCTAGGCTCAAGCAATCCTCCTGCCTCAGCCTCCCAAGTAGCTGGGACTACAGGCATGCGCCACCATGCTCAGCTAATTTTTTTCTATTTTTAGTTGTCCAGCCAATTTCTTTCTATTTTTAGTAGAGACGGGGTCTCGCTCTTGCTCAGGCTGGTCTTGAACTCCTGAGCTCAAACAATCCGCCGGCCTCAGCCTCCCAGAGTGCTAGGATTACAGGCATGAGCCACTGCACCCGGCCCCAAATTCTTAATATCAGAAATGAAAAGGGGGATATAGCTGCAGGTTCTACAGACACAAAAAGGACAATACAAGATATTTTGAACAATTTTATGCCAATAAATTTGACACCAGAGATAAAAAGATAAATTCTCTAAAAAACACAATTTTCCAAGATAATGTAAGAAGCAACAAAAAAAATAGATTTTTAAAAGATTAAAAGATGCACTTAAACACTTATTGATGAGGGTGTTTTGCTCCTATAGGAAACAGCTTCAAAACGTTTACTGAATGTTCTGCTGCTTTGCTTGTTTTCAGCCAAGTTGTTACCTCTTATTTCTGGCAGTATCAGCTTTTTCATCTACTCTTATAACTTAGGTTCTAGTAAACACCAAATTTACCAGAATTCTGTATAAAAGAAAGATCAAGTACCTGAAGGCATTTCTGTAAGTAAAATGATAAGCTTTAGAATTTGAACTTTGTGACATTTTATTTCGCTGTTGTGATTAGGAGCCACTCCCCCACTTGTTTTGCTTGTTTCTTGGTTCTGTACTCAATAACTTTAAAAGTAATACTTAATAAGTAACTTAGTGGAATTTTAACCATTAAACAAAACTATTGAATTTATTTTCACATATTTTAAACACCTTCCTGCAGAGAAATTCATGTTGCTAGGGTCATAATAAAATTTCCTGGGACTAGGACTTCTATTCTGATGCCATTATTACCTTTCTCAGTGGCCCATGCTGCTTTCTGTATTTCTTATTCCAAGATATTCCCATCTTTTTCAAGAGTTTCTGGCCCAGCTGCTCAACAGTAATTAGATTATTCTCCTCCTTATGAAAGAAATACAAAGTCACTTAAGAAAACCTGATGAGAAATAATTACGCACTTATAAATTCAAAGGGACCAACTGGATTACATCTGATTAAACATGCCTAGGACAGCAAACGTATAAGTGGATTAATCATAATTATTTCATTATAAAAAAGATTTTTTGAAAAGTGGATTAAGCCTCAGTTTAGAAAATTTGGATTTTTGCCACTTTTCATGTGCCACAGTTTAACCATTTAAATAGAAATATCCAAAGAATAGCCTGAGG